CCGGCCTCGCGAGCCAAAGGAGGAGTTCGAGGAAGTCTAGCTGGGAGCCAACTGTAAGGTGACAGCCCGAGGTGCGCGACCCTGTTGTTCTCCGCTCTCGAGTCCCCGCCTTGTGCCCCCCATCGGCCCCAGTTCTCTCAGCAGTCCGCCGCCCATCACCCTTCGCATACACATCCCAGGCACACTCAGGGCACACTCGCTCCCCGCCCTCGACCTGGCACCGGCCCACGCCTCCCTGCTTGCGAAGCCTTCATCACCTGCTCATCTGTCTGCTCCTCTGCGTCTTCTCTCCCCTACCCCCACCCTGCTCAGGCCATCTCCAGTCTTCCAGGACCGCCCCATCCCTATCTGAATATCAGCCCCGTCCACCCCCGCCCCCCATCCTTCTTCCGTCAAGTCTCTTTCTTTCCATCCCATTCCTTTTGGTGACCACCTCTGAGAAGTGAACTAGCCGGGTACATTCACAGAGGCTGGATTGGGAACGCCCGGCCTCTGTGAATGTACCCGGCTAGTTCCCTTTTGTGTATCCCATTACGACGGTCCTTGGCTTTAGGCTAATCCTCAACTGCCCAGACCCAGAGCTCAGGGAGCTACAGGGAGAAAGGAGGAGGGTTGCTTCTCGAGGCCTCTTCATCCCTCTGGGCCAAGGGCTCAGAGACACCTGTGTAATACTAGGACCCAAAACATAGTTTCTGGTTTGCACAGCGCAAGAGGACAGAGGTCGGGATTGCTGGAGCCCATTTCCAGTCCTTAGGGTTGAGATTTCACCATCTTTAAATTCAAAGCATTGGAGGAGGAGTCTCTTGTCCATGAAGAGCTGCTTCCGGCAAACACCCTCACAGGGACAGAGACCCTGGGCTCATTTTTCCTGCAGTCTTCATTAGACAGAACACCCACACCCACCCAGCTCTCTGGCTGGCCTCCTTTCAACTCTGATCACCTCTTCCCTGAAGAGCTTTCTGAATTTGAGTAATGACGTGACCCTACCGTTATTTTTTTTCTCAGTGAAAAGTTGCAAACATATAATGTAAAAAATGACTTTAGGCAAATAAATTATGGTATGTCAGAATGATGTGACTGTTAAAAGTACTCTTTTGAAGCCTAAAGATGTAAAAAAAACAACTAAGAATCTGTTAAATGGGAGGGATGCCAAAAGCCAAGCAGAACCTACCTCAGTATTAGCACCAGTTTTCTCTGGATGATGGAATTATAGAGTTTTTTTCTTTTTTGTTTTTGTTTTTGTTTTTGATTTGGAGTCTCACTCTGTCGCCCAGACTGGAGTGGCAGTGGCCGCTCCCAGCCACCGCAGC